TCAACTTTGTAGGAACCACCTTCAGTACCCCTTCGGATTATCGCATTCAAGACCGCGATCACGCCAGAAGTACCAGTGCAGAAGTCGCTGTTGGGGAAAACTGGTGTAACAGGCTCGTCATTGCCCATGGCTCGTCCAAACTCCATTGAGACGCCACAGCAGGCGTCAGAGATTTGTTGCCACCCACTGCGATACGACCAAGGACCATACCAGCCATAGCAGTTCTCCCGCACGACAATGAGACCTCGCTCTCGATCTTTCGTCAGGTCGAGTAGGCCCTCGGGAGAGAAACCATATTTGTCCAGCACACCAGGCCGATAGCCTTGTACTACGACATCGGCTTCTCGGACTAAAGCGCGCAGCTTCTCTCTGTCCTCTTCCTTCCGGAAATCCAGATGCGAGTTCCACTTTCCCCAGCTGAGATCGACGTGTAGCATGGACATATCGGTGACATGCTCTGCTGTTAATCGCATCACCGAAGCACCCAACTCAGCGAGACCTCTGGTTAGAGCCGGAGCAGCGATAACACGGGTCAGATCGACGACTTTGAGACCTGCAAGAGGCCTCTTTGCGCCAGTTTCCGGGCTATCTGGCCACCAACACGCCGGTTGTTTCGCATTCTTGACATCGTGGATCTCGTAGAGGCCTACGTGGGCATTTGCTTTTCCATGTTCGCTATTCTTGAACTCCTCGGTTGTCCAGCAGATGGTACCAGCTTGCTTGTACACATCCGACGCCAACCTTTGCATCTCGTCGGATTCAATACCTGCTAGCTTCTCTTCGTATGGTTTCCATGGATCATCCGACTCAGCCAAGTCCATATCATGCGGTAACCCAACACTCTCTTGTGTGGGTTCAGGGTTCATGGAGCCATGTAAATGGAAGTATCTTTCATCTTTGCACCGGTAGATGTTCGTAGCCGCCACGCGATACGGAGTCCTACTAGTATCATGCAGATCGCAGTTCTTGAAATATCTGTTGTATGCGTCCGATCCACTCGCGAATGGTTTTGTCAAGAACTCGATGTGTTCGCCATCGGGATCGATGACGTTCAATAGGATCGACATGAAGAAGAGTTGCGCATGGTCGCTTCACCGACACGCGTTAGCTACTTAATGGCAACGACTCCTAATGATAGAAGCACCTTATACAAGAAGAAAACCGAACAGGCCTGCTGCCTACATTGACATGGAAACCTACAAGATAGGTGACCTAGCGTTAATGTAGGCTGTAGGCCTGTTCGGTTTTTTCTTGATTAGCGTGGAAGCTCGGATATTTCAACTTACGTATCTATGACAGCGTCTTGGGGTTCCAGTCCATATTTCTGCTTCAAAAGGACGTTGATCATGGCGGCTTCCAGCCCCTTGAGTGCCGAGATGCTTTCGGCGAAGCGCCAGTTGATAGGTATACTGGGCTTATCGCTGCCTTTGAACTGGACTTTCTTTGCGCATTCTGCGATGTCGTTGGGTAATGTTGGAGCAATGAGGGGATTGCTCAATATGCCCTTCTCGAAGATGTGTTGGGTTTCGCGAGGGACAGAGTAGTCCTTGTGGCTACCATTCGTGCCGTTCGTATGACCGTTCGTCATAGTATTTGACATTTCTAATAGTTGTAGAGCCTTGACTTCGACTTGGGAGAACTGAGAGTGTGGCAACGAGACGCGGATAGCATGAGCTTTATCGTTTGCGCTGTCCGAAACACGTCCCACTCGACCCCATCAACTACTTGGTCGCCTTGTAACATGGTGCCAGCAACGCCAATCGGCGCATCAGCTCCATCGTCCTAGTTGTCACCGGTCTTACTCAAGCACTGCCGATCATGGTAGATGAACGGCAATTCGTTTTCGGCCCTCGGGCGAGTAAGTCGACTAGCTCAGTCTACCCGATAAGGTGGGGTATCACCCCGCAATCTGGATACACGTTACGCAAGAAGAGGATCAGGTCTGTTGACATAGCAGTCTGATGTGGAGATGTTTGTGATTGGAAGTTTGGTGGGAGGATTTAAGTTGCGGCTGTATCGCGATAATGCAAGTCTGCTTTACGCGCATGCGTTAGCGATCTAATCCCAGAATACACATAAGATTGCACCACAAGGCTTTTCCCAGCTGTGTTTATTGAAACAGTAGCTATGACATCGTCAGACTACAGCACGAGATGGACAGCGCAGCGCGGAAGCCGTCCAGTGAGGATAGCAAACTGCTCAGGCTACAAAGGTAATAGCAGCCTTACCTATGCTAAACCAGTCTGACGAATGCAAGGGGATCCCGGATATCATATGCTTTACCAAGCAGAGCTAGGAGACACGGATTTCATTACTGGTGACTATCTTGCCGAAGTCAACATCGCGGAAAACGCCCAGGCACATGCAGCGGGCAAGCATCCCGGATGGGAGAAAACAGCTTGGGTCGGTATCGAGCAGACGATCGACCTATTGAACGAGAAGAGGATCAAAGTCGTTGTCAATGGTGGTGCGCATAATCCGAAGGGGTTGGCGGAGAAGGTGCATGAACTCGTGAGTCTCTTCTCATCTATGTAGTCGCTACACGGTCTAGTTAACTGACAGACGAGCAGGTCTTAAGCAAAGGATATGATCTGAAGGTTGCGTACGTGTCTGGTGACAACCTAATGGACGAAATGAAGGATATCAAAGACAAGGGTTTACCGCCGCATCTAGATTCTGATAACAGCGAGGTAACGGTCGCGGACCAAACGCTTGACGTCCTAAAATCCGACAAACCGATCGTCAGTGCGAACGTCTACCTCGGTGCTCGCGAAATTGTCAAAGGTCTCGAAGAAGGCGCAGACATTATTATTGCTGGTCGTGTTGCGGACGCCAGCCCCGTCATCGGCGCTGCATGGTACTGGTACTCGTGGCGTGACACCGACTTCGATGCGCTTGCAGGCGCACTGATTGCAGGCCATCTCATCGAATGCAGTGGCTATGTAACAGGCTCGAATTTCGCTGGCTTCTACGAGTATCCGCTGGATGACCTGTACGACATCACTTTTGGTATCGCAGAAGTCGAAAAGGACGGGACATGTGTGATCACGAAGCACGAAGCTAGGAAAGGTTTTGTTACAGAAGACACTGTCAAATGTCAGTTTCTATACGAGCTTCAGGGCAATGTATATCTGAATAGCGATGTCAAGGCTATCTTGAATGAGGTTCAGGTCAAAGCTGAAGGCAAGAACAGGTACGATCAAATATCCCTCACTTACATGGCATGCTGGCAGGATTAAAGTCGCTAACAATCAGAAAGAGTTCGTCTGTGGGGCGTCAAAGGCAAACCACCCCCACCCTCCACGAAGCTCGCAATCTTCTATCATGCAGGTTACCAATCCGAGATTGTCGTTAATGCAACCGGGTATGCCACGGCTGAGAAATTCGATCTCTGGGAACGCATGATCAAGTTTGGCCTGAAGCAGAAGGGCATACTGGACCGATTCGACATCTTGGAATTCCAGCGCATAGGCATACCGGAGACCGACCCGAAGAGCCAGCTCAGAAGTACATCGTATTGTCGGATCTTCGCGGAGAGCGGCGATCCGAACGTGAACCTTGGCCTAGCGAGTCTACTGGCAGACTTTGCGATGCAGCACTACTCAGGCTTTCATAGTACGATGGATCATCGCACGGCGATACCGAAACCGTACTTGAGCTTCTATCCAGCGATTTGGCCGCAGAGCAAGCTGAAGACGGCGATCAATCTTCTCGAATCTGGCGAGACAAGGACGCTGATGACCGTGCCGCCACCGAAGTCAGAAGAGATTGGGAGGCGCGAAAGCTATGAAACTGCGAATCCCGTGGATCTTCGTTCTTTTGGCCCAATGACGCGTGCGCGGCTGGGGGACATCGTGCTCGCTCGCTCCGGCGACAAAGGTGGCAACGCGAACATTGGCTTCTTTATACCCACGAGCCTACCTTCCTCCTACCCACAGTCATCGCCCCTGTATGCCGAAAGTTGGGACTGGCTCCGCAGCTTTCTCACCATGCCCAAACTCAAGGAAATGTTTGGAGAAAGCTGGAGCGACAGCTTCTTCGTAGAAAGAGTGGAGTTCGAAGGTATTATGGCGGTGCATTTCGTGGTTTATGGGGTGTTGGGCAGAGGCGTTAGCGGGAGTAGCAGGCTGGATGCTTTCGCGAAAGGATTGGGCGATTGGTTGAGGGACGTAGAAGTCGAGGCTCCCGTGAGGTTTATAGAAGGAAGGGTCCGCGGCAAGGCTTTGGCTGGAAGGTATGCGGGGGATGCGTAACCGACGGTCTGTTTGTTAGATTTTAATCGCGTAACGTTTGTTGGAGCGCGACATCAGCGATCGTGGCTGGGGTCTGTGCTCCGGAGACCCTGCCAAGCCACCAGCAATGACGTAGACGGTTGGGTGACAATCAACTCGGGGTTTGTTGCGCGTGCACAGCCACAACCGGCCACCTTCGCTACATCATCATTCAAGTGCGCCCGCTTCCCTAGTAGTGTGACTCCACAACCCTACACACCCCCTGATACAATCTTTCCGACATCTACCACTTATCCACCAAATTAGAATAAGACCTTTTCTTGCACTGCTCTTAGTTCCCAGGCCAACCTTGGCACCATGTTCAAGAAGTTCAAGGACAAGATAAAGGGCGACGACAGCTCTTCAAGGCCGTCATATGGGACAGACCAACATAATCAGTATTCAAACAACCCTTACTACAGCTCGCCTCAGGACCAGCAGCATAACATAGCGCCGACGGAGAAGTATCAAGCACCGCCTGGCCCGCCGCCGAACCAGGCTTCATCCTCATCTGGGTACTCCGCTCCGCCAGGTCCTCCACCGAGCCACGGGTCGTCTTCTTATACTGCTCCCCCAGGGCCTCCACCTAAACAAGAGTTTTCAGGTTACGCACCCCCAGCAGGGCCACCTCCTTCGTATCCTCAGCAACCCCCTCCTAGCTGGGATCCTCCGCCATACCACGACTGGACAGTCGTACCTGACACTTCACTTCTACCCCCACCACCTTCGATGGGTTACGATAGTTCTCCCACTGCCAATGCATCTACTGAAGATGGCGATCGTGCCTTGGCTTGGACCAACATGAATCCTTTGTGGCCACCGCAGAACCTGCAGCCTAGTACTCATGCTGCGATCCAGAACGGTCAGCTTGCTCTACTGAAAGCGCCGTCGTATCTGGGCGATTTACTCCCTCAACCTCAAGCAGGCCACTGGCGTTGTCGCACCCATGCGAACTGCAGGGATTCCAGTATTCTCACAAATCTGCCCATGTACAGCGTGTTTTGGGACTCACCGCTCAACACACAACGCTCCAAGACTGTCTACTTCGAACTCAAAGTCCTTGGAATCGGTCGCGGTGGCTTCTCATTCTCGGAAGCAGACGCCGGTATCGCGATAGGCTTCGTCGCGCCGCCTTATCCTACGTTCCGTCTCCCAGGTTGGGAGCGTGCCAGTCTTGGAGTGCATGGTGATGATGGAAGAAAGTACGTCAACGATGCATGGGGCGGTATCGACTTCACCTCGGCTTTCAAGCCCGGGGATACTGTAGGTATCGGTATCACCTTCTCGGTTCCGCGCAACCCACCATCATACGAGCAGTCGCAACAAGGAAGGATGTTGGATATCGACGTGTTTTTCACGCGTAATGGAGTAAAGGAAGGTGGCTGGGATGGCAATGAGGAGCTCGACGTGCGAAGCGAGGGGGGCAATACTGGCCTGAGGGGCGAGTGCGACCTATTTCCGGCGATTGGCGTGTTTGGCGGTGTGGATTTCGATGTCTTCTTTCATCCATCGCAGTGGCTATACCGCCCATACTGAGATGACTTGGGTGTTTGATCAAGACTCTCAGGTAAAGGCAGTATGGCACTTGCGGTGAGATAGAGGTCATGCGAGCTCATTTGTACGCGTACGACTAATTCTACTATATCTTCTAATCTCACAGCTTGCTTGTTGATCTCTCTATTTCCTTTTGAGTTCCAAGCTAGGGTGCATTCTCTAACCATAATCCACTCCTGATACCGCTCTGATAATCTCGACTCTACAGTCGCTCGCCATGTCCTCAACTACACCATACTCACCCCAGGACTTTGGCTATCCATTGATGCTCGAAGACTACGACCCGGTCCCTCCTCTACCCACTACTGTTGCAGATCAGTGCGCTTCCTGTCGTACTACTGGCGCGAAGAAGATATGTGGCCAATGCAAGAGCATGCTCTACTGCTCGTCAGCCTGTCAACAACGCGACTGGGTCTCCAGCCACAAGCTCGTCTGCAAGCCCTACGCCAAAGCCATCAAACAACCCATTGGCAATAACATGCGGCGCGTTCTGCATTTCCCCGTCGATTCAGCTAAACCTTTCTTCTCCGTTCTGGCGTTCGATGAGGAAGGTACGGTAAGCGGTCTCGAACATCACTTCCCCGATGTCCCGGCCCAGGAGATCAAGAAACTATCGTTCCACAACCGCTACTGTCCGTACTTCATCCAAATTAATTACGACATGAATGCGAAGGGAGAGCGTGCACTCGTCGAGAACAGGAGCCTTGGACTGCCGTTTCGCGGTCCAGTCGTCGTCTTGGCATATGACCTGGACATTGCGCTCAGTGGTCCAGCATTGAACGCTGATGCTTCGATCATGCAGCCGTTGATGGAGTACGTTGAGCTGTTGCGCGAGTATGATGGACCGAAATTTGTGGAGGTAAGTTGTTGAGGGAGCACGATAGGGTGATGCTGCTAATTGTGCTTTGCAGCAGCCGCAGCAGAGGTATACGGAGGCAGAGTTGGACATTGTTATGGGCTCGGCATCTTCGTCTGGTGGAGAAAGGGCATAAGTTAGTGTGGATGGAGACGAACAAGTGAGAACTTGAGTATGGGAGAGAAAGAGCTTTGCTGGAATACTAATTGCCGATCTTTCATTGGGTTGTCCTCTTGTTCTGTGGCATATTGAAACTTCCAGATTATTACTTATGGAAAAGGTGGCTACAATTCTGAATACTATGCCACAATGCCGAACTATGCTACTCATTGCTCATAGATGCTTCAAGATAAGCTCTACCTCTGCATCTGCCGCCTCCAAGATGTGCTTCGGCTCATGATCTGGTCTCCAAGCTAAGCTATAGGCCCTCTTCGCTTCAAGTGTGCATCTGTGCCTGGTGTCAACGTCTGGTCTATCCTTGTGAGCATAAAAGTAGACTTACTTCCCCCCCAGCTGAACTGCAACAAGCTCTTTAGGGCAACCCAAGGCCTGTGCCATTTTATCTAGCGCTGCTTCATCCGCTTTCTTGACTGCTGGACTGTCGATAATTCCACGCTTCGCAAGCGCTTTCGCCATCGCGGTGTATATGTCGTACCAGGCCACACTTCCGGAGGAAGCAAGATAGTACCCATTCTCGCCATATTCTGGATTCTCGTCGCGTAGGATACTCTTCAGCAATTCCATGTACAGTTTCGAGTTATCGTCGATATGACATACGGGCCAAGTCTGAGTATATCGTCAGTATGCGAGTGGTTGGCTTTATGACTATTCGATAACACCTACCCAGCCCTCCGGATTGACATCGTACACGGCGCCGGCCCCCTTCGCAGCTTTGACCACAGCTGTGGTTTGGATCGAGATTTTGTTACCAAAACCTTTGCCTTCGCCGTATACGATACATGGAATGAAGATGTAGCTGCGGACTCCATGTTTCTCTGCCGTTTCAATGATGACATTGTTCGTGTTCGTTGCCTGAGGTCATTTCAGTAAGAGAGATTGGACTTTGGACCGCGTACACGCTAGTTGCCTCATACCTGCGTTAAGAGTCGATGAGGAGCCTTGGAGCTCTTTTGTAGTTTGTACAGATCATCATCTGTATCGGGAAGTGGTCGATCGATAGGCATCCCCGCATGTTCGCTGAAGATCTTTGCGCCACTGGTGTGCAAAAAGTGGACTTCGCGTCCAGTTTGCTTCTTGACTTCTGCGAGGGCTTTTATCATGGGAACCTGCATATCGGAGTTCATAGCGTCAACGAGGAAGAATATGACGGATATCTGCGCATCGACGATGCTCTTGATCACACTCTCTTCATTTTGTAAATTGAGAGTGAGAGGGCGCGCGCCATACTTCTTCACCGCTTCCGCTTGGTCTGGAGATCTGACGAGAGCATATATGTCTTTGTGCTCTGGAAGTTCGGCGTTGTGCAGTGCCGCAAGCAGCGAGCCACCGAGATACCCAGAGGCTCCCGTGATAAGGACAGACATTGTTGAAAGTGAGGCTCAGTATGAATGTATAACGAATAGAGTTTTGTTTCTACATGAAAATATGATTTGTATCTCAGACCTCTTTCAATAGGCGCTAGAGATCAATCTCAATATGCTTTGTAATGTCTGGTTGGGCGGTTGAGCGAATAGCTACACAACGGCTATCTCGATAAAATGACGTAACGCTTACAAACCGTCACGTGGAACAGGAATAGCCTGGAAACGTCGACAGCTATAACATTCGAAGAGAGGGGATTTTTTTGTTGACCGACAGCAGTAGGCTCTCATCAATCTTGCAGTTTGATTCGTAACACGGTAGCAGAGCAATGCAGTACACAGGCATCCCTGCGTATACAACCAGCAATTGGCATCTCTGTTGCATCCGGTGAAGAGTGCGGCGAGGTGAGTCAGACACGCTCGGTTCGGACAGACATGATACGAGCGAGTGGGTTGCAGTACTGGAATAGTATCGGGCGTGAATGCGATGGGCAGCGACGGGCAACTAGCTGCATTCGGCGAGGCTGCAAACACGGCGGATACAGCGCCCCCTGTTCTTCATGTCGAAAAGACGGTGATCGGTCGATGAAGAAAAAGGATCACCCGCTTGTGGCGTCGCAATGCCTGTGGAGGAGAAGGTTTGCCCCGCCAAACAGCGGCTGTCTTGCTGCTGCGTGAGGTCGGAATTTCGTTTGCTCCCATGCAGAGTGTCTCGGGAGATGTAGATGTACAGGGTTGGTACGAGGGCATGCAGATGGGTTCAAAGGGCATGTGGCCCGGGGCGAGGCGATGGGAATCTCGGCAGATCGGCATGTGCGAGGGGAGGCATGAGATGCATCTTCGATTGTGCCCCGTGCCCACATGCAATCGACGCCAGTACTGGCCGAAGAAGCACCGCCGCAGCCAAAACCGAAGCATCGCATGGGAATAAGATAACCGGGTCCTGACCGCGTCAGGCTGCGCAAACGTCGATTCCTTTTGAGGATGCTGCAGCCACTTTGTGTCTCTCTCGCGACTGCCACCTCTGCGCCGGCAGCTACATGCAGATGCTCACTCCTCCCCCCGACGAAGACGGCTTCGGCGCTCCTCCCATGAACCCCGACGATGAATGCGCATACGATTGGACCGCGGCGCTACCTCAGACCGACCATATCGCCTTCTTCCGCACCACGGACTGGTCGCGCAGCCGCCTGGGGCCACTGAGCACGTGGAGCCCGACGCTGCGCATGTTCGCAAGTTATGTACTGGCCGATTCGCGCGGAGCCTGCCTCTGGTGGGGAGAGGACATCTCCAATCTCACTGCTATATACAACGAGGCGTATGCTCCCTTGGCCGGTGGCGCTCACCCCAACCTCATGGGCTCCCTCTTCCAGGATGGCTGGCCCGATCTCTGGCCGTCCATCAGCCAGTACTTCATACAGGCCAAGCGGACAGGCACTGGAGTCAACTATAGCTCTGCCATGCCCACGGTTGTCGAGCGCAGAGGCTACCAAGAGGAGGCCTTCTTCTCTGGCGGCTTTGTTCCAGTCGGCATGCCAGGCGCTATCGAGGGCTTCATGAATACAACGTGAGTTACGTGTAGTAACCAAGCTAGAAAACGCGTTTCCCAGTGACCTATTCCCAATACACAGCTGACCCAACTAGCTACGAGGTAACAAGCCAGAAGCTCGCAGACCGCCGTACCACCTGCCTGAATACTCTCGCCTCCGTGCCCTCACAATGTGTCGACGCAGTCTGCTCTCACATTCTCACCACGCTCGAAACCAACGCCAACGATGTGCCCATGTCCATGCTCTACCGAATGGACACAACCCCAGGCTCGAACGAGTTGATACTCCATGGCCAATTTGGTTTCCCCGAGGGGCACGACCTTCTCATCCAGACAGCCACTATCGACAGTGAGCAAGGACTAATACCAGATCTGCGACGAGCTGGCATAGACACTATGGTCATCGAGCATGATGAACGATTTCTTGCTACCTCGTGGAGAGGTTGGAGCGCGCCTTCCAAGAAGATTGTCGTAATGCCCATCATGAGTGGAACACGCCTTTTCGGCTACCTTGTCTTCGGCACCAATCCATTTCGCCCCCACGACGATATATGCACGCAATTTATCAGGGACCTAGGTCGCATGGTGTCAAGTATCATATCTTCTGCCGTTGACAATGAATCCACCAAGAAGCGTCAAGAGCAGCTCGAGACTGATCTGGCTTTCAGTGATCTCAAGCTACGCCATCTGATCGATCACGCGTCTGTTGGCATGTGCCATGTATCTCTTGATGGTGATATGCTATGGGCCAACGATCACTATTATGAGCTAGCTGGGAAATCTCCTTCGGAACATGCCATCGGTCTTGCCTTCCTTGACGCATATCACGAGGATGATCGGGTAAAAGCTGATGATGTTTGGGAGCGTCTGATTAGAGGCGCCGACCACGTCACAGCCGACTTGCGCATGAAGCGCATGTACACGCCTCCTACCGGGGATCCCGAACCCGCCCAGATCCAGGTTCTGGCCTTCCCGTACCGCGACGAGCATGGAAGCGTGAGAAGCGTAATGGCTTGTACGACTGACATTAGCAGGCTGGGCTGGGCGCAGACCTTCCAGGCTCGATTAGCCGCCGAAGCAAGAGAAGCAAAAAGACAGCAGGAAGCCTTCATTGACGTAGTTTCACACGAGATGCGGAACCCATTGAGCGCCATTGTACATTGCGCAGATGCGATTGCCAACGCAGTTGTCGAGTGCCAGACGCAGCTCGCCGATATACCTGTACCGTGTCTCGACACTCTCAATGACAACATACAAAGCGCAAACGTCATCATGCAATGTGCAAATCATCAGAAGCGTATTATCGACGATGTACTTACTTTGAGTAAGCTCGACTCCATGCTCCTGTCCATCACGCCCGTCGCAGTCAAACCCGCAAAGCTCGTGGAATCCATCGTCAACATCTTCCAAGCTGAGATGAAGACGCACAACATCTCTTACAGTGTCACACCTGACACATCGTTCTTGAGTCTAGGCATTGACCACCTTCATCTGGATCCGTCCCGCGTGACACAAGTTTTCATCAATCTACTGACGAATGCCATCAAGTTCGTCAAACCATCGAAAGAGCCAGCCCTCTCCATCCGCTATGGCGCCAGCACCTCAGATCCCCGCGAACTCTTTCCGGAAGACATGTTCTGGGCTACTGAGGGCAAGCAAGACGGGGATGTTACAAGCAATCCAGATTGGGGTACTGGTGAAGAAATCTATCTTGCGTTCACCGTCAAGGACTCGGGAATTGGCTTGCAAGAGAAGGAAATTCACAAAATATTCGAGCGCTTCCGCCAAGCGAACGTGAAGACGCATGTCAAATACGGCGGCAGTGGGCTGGGTCTATTCATCTCAAAGGAGCTTACTGAGAAGCAAGGCGGCGAAATAGGCGTCTCATCCGTTCAGGGCCAAGGTTCGACTTTTGGATTCTACGTCAAGACGCGAAGAGTAGAATGGAAGCCCAGGACCCTCAAAGAGATGTTTCAACAAACCGGCAATGAGGAAGCGGCAATGCGCCAACTCCACGTACTGTTGGTGGAAGACAACATTATAAACCAGCAAGTGCTCGGCAAACAACTTAAGAAAGCAGGATGCCACGTCTCCGTCGCAAACCATGGCCTGGAGGCGCTCGAGATACTGGAGAGAGAAACGTTTGACATCGTGTTGATGGATCTGGAGATGCCGGTACTTGACGGGCTTGGCGCGATGCGCGAGATACGGAAAAGGGAGGAAGAGCAGGGGGTGCTTTCTTCTGCACGGTTGCCTGTGATTGCTGTCACGGCGAACGTTCGGAAGGAGCAGATCGATACTGCTATTGCTGCTGGGGCAGTAAGTATATGATAACCGTCGAAAGCGTTTCTAGGCTAACAGGCTGTACAGGATCGCATCATGCAGAAGCCGTTCAAAGCAGCCGACTTGGTGTTGATGATGAAATCATTGATGCCACAACTGGCACCTTTATCCATCGATCCGCCGACACCGGGCCTCGGCCTCCGATCTAATGCATTGGTGCCTTGAAATGAATTTCTTTGGCACCTTGCTTAATTCATTGGACATCTCAATCGTCGAGTCTAGAAGTCTCCACATTGTCTCGTGTCCCACCTCGAAGCGGTCCCTGGAGTACCTAATTCGAAGCTGCGGGAAGGACGAGAATCATGTGTTCTTATCGTGTAGTCCACAGCTGTGCAACAACTTCTGTGCATGTCACATTGCTATCGGGATAGGCACTCGGCGCCTGGTAGCACACATGCAGATTGTTGGAGTTCTAACAAGAATTCACCCACAAAAGTCTTTTACGAAACATCACCACCCAGTCTAAGTCTAGCCGCATGGGGTATCACAAGATAGCGCTTGACGCCGGAAGACTACGCCTCATCGGCAACTGAGCAGTGCGGTGCGCACGGATAGGCGAAAGAGGATCGGTTTTTGGAGAGCGGTGGGGTTGCCGCACGATGCACAGAGATAGTGGACGTCAGGGATATGGTTTTGTGAACCCTTTATACTCACGAGAAAAATGAACATCTTGCAGCATGCTTCCATCCTGACCTCTTTTCGAAGACTCATCGCTGTACCGTGGATGCAGATGGAGACGTGCCAGCTCAGATTCACCACATACCCAACCACCTAAAGTACCACTCGAAGTAGTTGCGATCGGATCATCACAAGACGAGCGCGAACACAAGAAGCTCTCGACGTTGAGGTCGGGTTCGGCGGTGATGCTTCAGAAAGTCTTGCTTCTAGCTGTCGTATGCCATCTAGAATTGATACTAACAGGCATAGACTAACCCCGTCATAGACTCATGACGCCAGCGTCGCCAATACCCGTCGTGTAAGAATTAGATCAAAAGTCTTGGCCATTACGTTTGTTTCTGGCCGATCCGTGAGAACGGCCCTTTTCACATGCTGTCTTTGGAACATATATGTGCCAAGACACGAGATCGACAGACGATCCAAAGTTGAGATGTGCGGGACGGGACCTGCAGTAAATAGCGGAGAATAACAAGGCCGAGATTGATGTTTTGATGCGCCGGCCCGGCTTCTTGTTTGTGGTAATGCCTGGTGCTGCTGAGAATTAATTGTAATTGTGAGTATGCCGATCGCTGAGTGGCTGACGCACTTTGGTAACCACCACCAGGAGCATACTCTTGCTAGGCTATCGCTATAGGAGGAGGAAAAAGCTCAAGAGGAACGAACAAGGGTGCAGAGTTCATGCTGCTGTATGAACCTCTACAGAACTTTGGGCAACAACCTAAATCCTCAACGCGGCGATTTGACGAAGACGCTGCTGCAGATTCCGGAGGTTGAGACGTATATTGTGGCGATAGAGGCTATAGAACCGGTGGATAGGAGCTATCCGGAAAGATTTCGGTAGTGTTTGTATACATTGCATGGTGTTGTTGTTTGAGGATGGCGTAGCGGCTGGCCTTAGTTGGCTTCCTAAAGAACCGGTGTCCCGTATGCGTCAGGCTACGCCATCCCTCCCAGCATGAAGCCCGTAGCAGGTGCCACACGTGGCTGTTATTTGCGAGAAGCACAGGCACGCGTCTGAGCCCATTCACCGCTCGCTCCGCTCCGGCAACTACGTATGGGTCGGGAGATGCCGCATGTCCGAGTGCTTCATGCGTCTGTCTGTGCGATGAGGGGGAGATGCTAGAGTGGCTTGGCGCAAGGACGCGTACAACTCTGCTTTGTACACTGAAGCTCTTTCTCTTGGTGCATGAAAGCGATAAGGTGGTGGTCGTGTGTCGGCGGGCGCGTCGCTTTGTTGGAGAGGAAGGCGTTGGCCCGAGCGCCTGAGATCGTCCGGAACGGAGTGTGGGGACTCATCCCATGTTCAAAGACTTTGCGACCCGCGGGTAACCCACGCAATGCATGATAGCCAGTTCGGAGGGTGCCAATTGCGCGCTCGTTATCCGCGCTTCAGTCGGCTCGAGAAGCTTGTCGCGGTAGCTGCATTACATCTGCAAACCTGAAACACCGTCTTTTGCTGTACTGCACACCGGGTTAGCCTAAGCCCCGGACTCTCAGCCTTCAAAACCACACTTACGCACTCCTGAGCAGCAAACAAGCTCGCGCTGACGTCCGTCAATTCTTGTCTTTCATCGCTCAAAGACTATGCCGTGCGCCTGTGCAGGGGCAGAAAGGTTGTTATCTGCAGAGAGGCCATAAATGGCGAACAGCAAGTGAGTAATCGATAGCTTTTCGAAGCGGGTGGGGAAGCTGCCGCCAACGTCCAGAGCTGGCCGCCTGCACGAGCTCACCGGACCTCAACTAACGGACTCCAGATTCGAATACGTGCGCGGGTTCGAGCAGCCCGACAATCTAATTCCCAACACCTGGATCGTAGTACGGATAGACGGACGTGGCTTTTCCAAGTACGCTCACCAATTCTCTCTCCCTCACTTGCGCCGTGGCAAACTTTCTTGGTCCGGGATATGCAGGTACCCGTCACCATGTTGCATGAACGGAATTGCTGCCCCAGGCCAACATCTCGGCTATTGTACACCAACAAGGGCCATTGTTAACAACGCGCGAACAGGTTCACGTCCAAATATGAGTTCCTCAAGCCAAACGACAAGAATGGCCTTGATGTCATGAATGCTGCAGCCATAGCGGTCATGAAGGAGCTGCCCGACCTTGTCCTTGCATTTGGCAACAGCGACGAATACAGGTATGTTGCATTCTTTTATTCGAGCACGTTGTGTTTGAGATTGATTATGCCTCCATCGAGCTGCCCAATGTTCCCAGCGCGGTATACACAGGGGTGGGGCAGCATGTTTCGGGGCGGCTTAGCTGACGTGGGTCGCAGTTTCGTCTTTCACAAGGACTGCGCCTTATTCGAACGACGAGCCAGGTACGGGAATCCTCCTATTGGTGCAACTTTATCACCTCCGGTGGTCATTCGTCTAGAACTGATCCCCGTTTAGCAAACTGACTACGACGATTGTCTCGACTTTCACTGCTTACTATGTGTATTCTTGGTCAACATACTTTCCGGATAAGCCACTCACAGCACCCCTACCGACATTCGATGGGCGTGCGGTCTTATACCCAAGCGATATCAACCTTCGACACTATATGAGCTGGCGGCAAGCCGATTGTAAGTGTTTTGATGCATCACCTTCTTCCTGCCGTTTCTTGTTAGACAGGATCTTTTGCTTGCTCTTGGTGTCGGTCGTAGAGTGGCTCTGACCATCGTGCAGGTCATATCAACAATCTCTACAACACCACTTTCTGGACCCTTGTTCAGCAGGGTGGCATGGGAGCGCGAGAAGCAGAGCAAAGACTCAAAGGCACAGTGTCATCCGACAAGAACGAGATCTTGTTCAAGGAGTTCGGAATCAACTACAACAACGAACCAGAGTGCTTCAAGAAAGGCACGGTGCTGTACAGAGATGTAAGAGATGCTTCAGCACCATCAGCATTCACGTCCACGTATCTAACCGTGGCAGTTTTTCCCTACACCACCGACCGAGGCATTGTCGTCACCCGTGCTGTCGGACTTCCCAACGCCACCGATCGCTCAGCCAACACCAAAGCGAGCGTCCAATCATCACGCATCACAGTCTATTGAGAGGTCTATCCCCTATCTGCCGGACAAAAAAGAGATGGCGGAGAATCCAGGTCTATGCAGACGTCCAACCTTTCTCTCTACAACATCGACGCCATCACCGCCGCCATCACCACCTACGATTTCGAGATCAGCATTCCCCAACCCACTCAGGTCCAATCCGATTGGCTCCGATGGTGAGGGTAACATGCCAGGTTCGTCCATGCCGCTCTCCCCGCCAACGACTGCCACCTGGAACAACAATGGCTCCTTAAACGGCAAGCAACATCTACCATCGTTGACGCCTTTGCCGCTGTCCCCACCAATATTGAAGCCAAGCAGCAAGCCTCCGATGTCATTGAGCCAACCGAATCCGACAACACGTACCAATTTTTCCCCAGTAACACCACAAGGCGATTTTCCCGCAGATTTTCCTATAGCAGGCTACCGCCACCATGCCACTGCAGCGGCCAGCCATGGATTCTCCCACTCCGCTTCTGCTTCTTTGACACATTCATACCCACCTCAAGTGAAGCCTTCGCGTGTCAAACAACGATCGCCGAGCCAGCCTTCTCTACCTTCATATTTTGCGTCATCTAGCACACCTGCAGTGAAGCCCCCGTCTATACCACTGCGAATATCCAGCATTCCTGCCAACAGCAAGCCTCGGAAACTGTCTTTACCGGTCCATCGATCAACGTCAACACTCAAAGCCACGAGAGATACTTTGGAGGAGAAGGAAAGCATCGTTAGCCCCCGAGATGCGACATCGACGCCGCCCCGCAAAGTCAGCCCGCCGATCCAAAAGAATAAGGCTCTGCCCAGTCCGCCAATGAGCGCAGAAGAGGAGATGCGCACGCGAGAGAAGGTCAAAGGAAACAGCCCAAGGCAAGACTGGAGCAAGTACGCCATCAACGGCAGCGAGTCGCCTCAGCGAAGGCCAAGCGACTCAGACAACAGAGCGGGTCAAGGCTGGGGTACGCAAGACCACATCTCCCACCCAGGCATTGCAGAACTCCACGCCTTTTCCTCACCCACACAGTCTGCGCCCACATCAGCAACCTTACCATACCCTCATTCAGGCCCCGATCTCCACACTCTAATATCCTCAACATCCGCTGCAGGGCCAAGTTCCCAAGCCTTTCCCACCAGCCGCCCGTCCACCAGCAGTCGCAACAAAGACGCCAGCGTACCCAAACCCTCCAAGTCCAACTCTTCAAAGGCCAGACCGGATAAAGGCAAACAACCACAGTCGGAAACGAATGGCAAGGCCGCAGCTACTGCGCCTCAACAGGCGAATGAAGGATGGCCCGTACCCATGAGTCGTACGCAGAGAGATAAAGATAAGAAGAAGCGGAGCAAGGCGACGGTGCTTATGGAGCACGTGGATATCATCAAGGATGATTTTTGGGAGAAGAGGCCCTGGATTCTGAGTGGGAAGACGGGTTGAGTTAGTTGCTCGAGGTGA